TCAGGTCACGACTCAACCCTTTATACTCTTTGAAATCCGAGATCTAGTGTTCTGTATTGTTGTCTACACTTCTTATTGTCTAGTTGTCTTATGGGTTTGGTTGTTGGTTGTGTTTTGAATAGGTTGGGAATTAGTTTTTCAAAGAAATCTTGTCTGTCTCTTCACAAGTTTGCTCGAGTGGTCTTTCTTTCGTTCGAGCAGTCTTTGGTTCCTTCTAGTATCTCTTGCAGGTATGCAAAACTACTGGGAGTAGGGTGTTTTTTGCTTGAGCGACGTTTCTTTCGCTTGAGCGTTCTTTTGCATGTTTGTAAAAAATTTGAAAGTGAATTATCATGCGCTCGAGCCATGTTTTGGTCACTTGAGCAGTTCCTCTTGTTTGACGCTCGAATGGCATTTTGGTCGCTTGATCGATCAATGCATATATTAGTATGGGGAAAAAAGCTTTTCAGTCACTTTTTAATCCCTCATTCTAAAAGCTCTCCACCCAAAATTTCTTGCTCTCTCTCTCTCTAAAATCTCACATAAACCCTCCTAGACATTCTAATATGTAAGCCTCATGACCTTGGTGCTTTGAGAGAAAAGGTAGAGTGCATAGAGGTGGTCATTTTGATTGGAGAAAGTCTAAGTTTCAGCTTCGTCCAACTTTGGGTCTTGTTCATCTATTCTTCTAATCTTGAGGTGGGATTTTTTTTAACCTCTTTGTATGATTTTTAGCTTAGTTAAGTGCTCTTTGAAAGGGTGGGGGATTTGAGAGTTATGGGTTTTGGATTGGTTTTGGAGGTATAAAAGAGGGGTTTTCAAATTAGTTTAGGAGAAAGGTTGTGGAGATGGTTATATTGATAAATCGGGTTGAAATCTTGAAAATCTTTTCTTTAAATGTGTTTTGAAAAAAGGAATAGATGTTTTGTTGGAAAATCTTGGAAGTCTTTGGTTTTGAACTAAGGAGAAAGAGGAAAGATATTGAGTTTGAAAATAATAATCTGAACATACGTGTTGATGACGAGAATCGACTTGAGTATGTGTTATCACTCCTATGTTGAGATTTTGAAAATTATATCTATGTTTAAAAATTTATCTTTAGAGATATTTGTTTTGAGCTATCAATGGAGGATAGTTTTGATTGTTGTAGAAGTTGCATGAGAATTAGGTTAATTACTCATTCATTTTTCATTGAACAGTGTTTCATATTCTTACACTAAAAATGTATTATTTTTTAGAAAAATGTGTGAATACCTTGGTGAATCTGATTAAGGGGTGTGGTTGTGGTTTTATTATGTTGGCCTGAGTGTCCTTGGTGAAAGTTCAGAAACCCGCGCAGTTAGATACTGATCCTTCCGGTTAGTACTTGTAAAATGACTTTGGTAATGCTTGTATAGCCTATTTGCAGACATGTACTTAGATATTCTCAGTGTTGTGTATCCACTACTCTGTTTTCTGATTTTAAAACTATTGTTTTAAGAATGAAATTATAATCATGGCATTACATTATTTTAAATGAGTAAAGTGTAACGTTTTTGCTCAATGGCATTCATATGCATTCACCATATGACATTGTTAAGTATCATATAGTGTGTTATAGTATTATCTACTGTGGTTTAACTCACCCTATATGGAACCAACTTTTAGGTACAACAGAAGTAGCTTGGGACGACCTTGGAGCCGAGAGCTCCCTTTGTTTTCTTTTGTGTAAATACTCTTTTGTATAAGTCTTGGGCTTCTTATATATATGGAGTTTGACTCACTCTTGTTGCTCTCGAGCATCATCTTGGAAATATGTAACCATTAGGGCATAAACTTATTTGTGTTTCCTTTTGTTTCAAGTTATTCATACATATCATATGTTATAGATTCAGGATTTAGGATTTATGAATATATACATGTATATGACATCTTTTGTACTATTAAAGAGAATCAATGAAAGATTAATAATTTGTAAGTTTTCGCTTTTTCATTGTATGTCATGAGGTGGTTAGTTGTTATTAAAGAGAATCAATGAAAGATTAATATTTTCGCTTTATATTGCCACCTTTTACCTCCCTAGAACCGCCACAACCCTTGGCCACCCATCTCATTCCTCTGCGACCAACTGCGACCACATCTTCTTCCTTCTTCTCAAAACCTTAGATCTGAAACTCTCTCTCTCTCTCTTTAGGTTGCAAGGGTGGGTTCGTGATGGTGGCGGCTATGAAGGTTGGGTTTGCGAGCGGTGGTGGGTGCCTATGGGACTAGGTTCAAGATAGATGGTAATCATAGTGAGTGCTGATACGATGGATGACTGGTAGTTGCGATTGCCCTGATGATGGTGAGGGGGATTATCGTGATAAGGGCTAAGTGGAGGTGGTGGTGGCTGGAGTGAAAGACAAGGCAATGGGAGATAATGTGATCAAATTAGGGTTTCAAATGTGAATGGTTGTAAAAAGAGGATGAATTGATAAGGATGAGCATATATTGGGAATTATGGAGAGTGTAATGAGATGAAAGGTGGTGTAATAAGAAATAAGGTGTAAGGAGATAAATATGTGGTGCAAGTAGAATTATTTATTGTCAAATTAGCAGACTTTGTTGTATTAAAAAAAATAAAAAAAAGTTAGAGAAGGTCAATATAGTTTATCCTATTATCAATACGTTTGAAACTTGTAAAAGTAAAGAGGCAAGTAAAAGAACACAAAGAAAATCATTAGAAATAATGTAATTTTTTTGTTTGATTATTTGAATGGAGGAAAAAAAATTGGAGACAAATGGCATTCTCTTGTTTTGTGTCTAACTTAGTTCAAATAAATAAATAAATACAATAATTAACTTTTCCTTCAACTTTTCAAATAGGCATATCCACCTTATAACTTTTTTTTAAAAAAAAAACATAATTTTATATTTTTTAAGTTATAATTAAAAAAAAAATCATAACTTAACACAATATGAGATATAACTAAAGAATTCGTAAGTTATAACTAAAATAATGTTATAATCACAGAAAAAAATTGATCATAACTAAAGAAGAAAATAATATAATTAGGGGTATATATGACACACCATTTTTAAGAGTGTGTGTGTTAGAATTTCCCATTTGGTAATATTAAAAAAAAAAAGGCCCAACTTTCATTTAAAAAAAAGTTTAAAAGTCAAATTCTGTTTGTCTATCCAATTTCAAAATTAGATTTTGAGTTTTTAATAATTTATATTTTTTAATTTATAATGAAATTTTTTTAACATTTTGATCAATTTTTTTTAAAGATTTTTTTAGATGCAATTAATTCAGATGTTCTCAATAGGTAAAGTATTTGCGAAAAAAAAAACTTTAAAAAATTCAATAAATACTACAAAATATAAAACAAATACAAAATTTTAATATATTTTCTTATTTTGTTGTATTTATTAATTTTTTAAAAATTTCTTCACAAATATTTTACTTTTTGAGTATATCTAGAATAGATGTATTTAAAAAAAAAAATTTAATGTTCACAATATTAAAAAAAATCATTAAACATAAAAAAAAATATGAATTGAATCAAAATATGATTGGGAAATTTGGTCAAGAACCCCTCATAATAAAATTTTAATGCATTAAGGAGCACAAAAAGTTTTCTACTAAAAGTTTAGCACATATTACTATTACCAAAATATCTTTAGTGAGTAATTTTATATTTTAAATTTTAAAATGATATAACTTTTGATTCAGATATTGATTTTTAATAAAATTCAACAACAATCAACCAACAACAATTTAACAACAAATCAACAACAATTCAACATACTTGAAGGAAGCTCTACAAATAACAATCAACAACCAACAAAGTCAACAAATACCCAAACTGATAGCGACATTGAGGCCTTCAATTAGAGCTTTCGCTCCCTCCGCTAGGGCTCATTTCATTACAGCCAAACAAAGGCTTTCACAACTCAAAAATTGAATAGTCTCCCACATCTCAAATTTCTAAAAACATGGTTACATCACTTAGATGCAATACTCTACTTACAAAATCCTCTCATTCATGGAGTTGAAATACGCAATTTAGATTTACACATTGTCAGAACAATGGAGAGACTTCCCTACCCAACTTCCACTTGAGATATATATCCAAGTCAAGATTGTCCAAAAAAAGAGGTAAAAAATATTAGCCTGTTCTTCATAAAGAACACGCTTCTTGCTTAAGGAGTTTAGGAAATAAAACATTTGGGTTATCCTTTACACACTAGCATGTGTTGAGGCTAAGGGATTTTATCTAAATTTCCTAATTTTGACAATTGGATAACCAAATTAGTGTATTATGGGGACTAATTTGTACCCATATCAATAATCTGAACTATTTATCTCATATGACAAACTGATAAGAATATGTATGCAAAAAATTAAGTTGATCAGATATAAATGTATAATCAAATCACATATATATTATAATAAATAAACGATCTATTCTTAAAATAAATAAACCTTATAAATAAAATAAAAACCATAATAGTATGATAATCAATATTGGATATATTTGATTTTTTATATGAACATTTTTTTATTATAATATGAATGGTTTAGATCACTAAATAAATTCAAATTAGTTTGATAATAGGTCAATTATGAAGTTGAGCTTTTCAACTTTAATAAATTCAGACTTTATATATATTGTTTTGAAAAAGTCTGTGGTGCCAAACTTAAGCACTCAGAAAAATTTGAATGAGTAATTGTGTGATAGAAATTAAATTTGTATAGTGTTGTAGAATATATATATATGTATATATATATAAATTTAAATAATAAGATGATAATTTTTGAATAGTTACATCAAATTGATAGTATTGTTGCATATGTTTTTCTTAGAAAGTAAAAGTAAGAACAAAGAAACCCAAAAAAAAGGAAAGAAAAAAAAGGTTAGAGAATGATATCTTATCCATCCTAGGTGGCAAGATATCAAAGCAGCCAACAGAGACCGAGAGAGGGAGATACTCAACCCCCAGAAACAGAGAGAGCATGTGGAAGAAGAGAACGCCACATGGAAAACACAGGTGTCCCACCGTCTTCCACATGTCAGGCCATGGATGCCAGGCGAGATCGCGCTCAACACCAACCTCTTATCAACAACCAAAAATCCCCCAAAAAATTAAATAAATCTCGCTCACTTGAATTCCCATAATTTTCTCTCTCCTCTCTCTCCCTTTGGTCGAGAGTCTCGTCAGCTTTGAACGCTATGTCTGCCATTGCTACAGTTGCGACTATCTCTCTCCCCATCTCTCTTTCTCGATCCTCCAAATTTAGCAACAAACGGGTATGCTCTCTCATCTTTTTTGTCCTTTGCTAAATTTTTCTGGGCATCAGCCAATTCTAGAGGAAATTGATCAGTTGAGTTGGTTTTTTTTTTTTTTTTTTTTTTTTTTTTTTTTTTTTTTTTTTTTAAGTGGGTAAGTTGGTTTGTTGAATTGTGGCTTTGATCGTACTACAGAGTTCTAGAAGATATTATTTTCAAATTGTTGATGGCCTCTGAATTTTGTGATTAGTTAGCTATTTTGTGCAAAATGTTAGAAACAAATACTCAGAATTTGAATGTATGTATGTTGCAGATTTAGATATCATATCGGCCACACTTTGATGAATTTGATCCATATATTTCAAATTCATGATAATTTTTCTGGGTTCGTAGTATTGTTGGTTGCCTAAAACATACTTATCTGGGTATCTGCAGAAAACTAGAGAAAATTTGAGTTGACTTGTTAGTTGACTTGGAATTGTAGATTATTTTGTGTAATGAACTTCAAGAAAGGGCTAAAATTATGTGGGTACATGCTTAATATGGAGGACAACTTAGGGCCTGTTTCGTGCGCCTCTAATAAGCCAAAAGTTGATAGTCAAAATAGTAAAAATTAAAAGCACCTCTCCCCTCCTTCTCAATAATCAACTTTTTTTTTTTTTTTTTAAGCTATATCTGTCTCATAAGTTGTACAATTTAAAAAATAAAAAATATAAGTAGCTATATATGCTGCACCAAACAGTCTCTTGGTCTAGTTAACTTCTAAGTGTGATTCTTGGCTAACATTCAAGTGGGTGATTGTAATTTCAGGGTGTTAGGGCAGGGTTTAGGGTTTTCGCCGTTTTTGGGGAAGAAGGCGGGTTAGTAGACAAGAAGAGTGCATGGGGCACTCTCTTTGATGTGGAAGATCCAAGGTCTAAAGTCCCACAGTGTAAAGGGAAGTTCTTGGATGTAAATCAAGCCCTAGAATTGGTTAGATTTGATATCCAGTACTGCGATTGGCGGGCCCGACAAGATCTACTCACAATCATGCTACTCCATGAAAAGGTCTATATTTCATCCCTTCTGAAAGTTGAATATTGAATATTGAAGGTTTTTATATGATAATTTGTGAATATTCTTTTCATTTTGAGTTCTAATTGTTGTTCGGGTATTTCTCACTGGTTGTAGGTTGTGGAAGTACTAAACCCTCTAGCCCGGGACTACAAATCGATCGGCACCTTGAAGAAGGATCTTGCAGAGTTGCAAGACGAGCTTGCACAAGCTCATAAACAGGTTTTGGAAATCTCCCACTAATGAAATGAAAAACGATGACAATTTGAAAAGCTTTTTTAAGTACATCCATGAACATAAATTCCAATTTGTGTCATCCAATTTATAGATGCTATTTCTCCAACAGTAATCCAATAGCCATTTTTATGTTTGGAATGAATATAACAGGTTCATATATCTGAAGCAAGAGTGTCCACTGCTTTAGATAAGCTAGCTTACATGGAAGAATTGGTTCATGATAGACTGTTACAAGACAAACCAACAACAACAGAATCTGAGTGCACGTCCCCTTCATCCAGTACTTCCACCGAATCTCTAGATACTGTTAGAAATAAGCTATCCCGGAAAATCCTGAACGTGTCTGGTCCTGTTCAACCTTATCATCCCCGTTTGAAGAACTTTTGGTACCCTGTTGCTTTCTCTACGGACTTGAAGGATGACACCATGGTAAGCCAGTTCTCTAAAATATTGTGTTGTATTTATTTTACTTTTCTGATGGTTTACTTTACAGAATTTCATGGTTTTACCAAAAATTGACCAATGTCCACGTTTGTTTTTTTTTGTGTGTGTGTGTTCTCCATTGATCAGTGAGTTTCTTCTTTACAATTGCCTTGTCACTTCTCTATTTCAGGTTCCCATTGATTGCTTTGAGGAACCTTGGGTTATCTTTCGTGGAAAAGATGGGAAACCTGGATGTGTCCAGAATACCTGTGCCCATAGAGCATGTCCTCTTCACCTTGGCTCAATAAATGAGGGTCGTATACAATGTCCTTACCATGGTGAGTAAGAAGGAAAGGAAGCAATTATCCAACGTTTATATAGCCCATATTGAAGAAATTAAGAACCAAGGACAGAACGATCATGAAGTGCATAAGATAATTAGTAATGTTTACTATAAGAAGGAAGATGAATCTATATATTTATGTTTCTAATTCTTCAAACATGTTTTGGATGAACACAGGGTGGGAATACTCGACAGATGGAAAATGCGAGAAAATGCCATCTACAAGATTAGTTAATGCCAAGATAAAAGCATTGCCATGCTTTGAGCAAGAGGGGATGATATGGATTTGGCCTGGCAATGACGCTCCAACAGCCACCATTCCTTCTTTACAACCTCCCCTGGGATTTAAAATACATGCTGAGGTTTGTTACAAATGCTTTTAGGTTTTCTCAGTTGTTGCAAGTGCAATTATTATTGAAGCATGTTTCAATATTTTACAAAAGCTCATGTATCATCTCAATTCTGATGGGCTTGGAAATTTCAGATTGTCATGGAACTCCCTGTGGAACATGGGTTGCTTCTGGACAACCTTTTGGATCTTGCACATGCCCCTTTTACTCACACTTCCACCTTTGCCAAGGGATGGAGTGTTCCCAGGTTTGTTTGATTACTCATAAAATGATAAAAAAATATAAAAAAATAGTTGTAGTAGAACCTTTTATATACCTGTTACTTCATCACCCATATTTAAATTGAATATGAAAAAGCCACTCATGAGATTCTTGAGCATCTGGGCATTATCTGAAGCATGGATTGTTCTGGTACTGGAAACAAGAACCGGAATGCAATTCGCCACATGATCTAAATTGTGGTACAATAGGGGGTAGACTTGTATAGATTACGCTATCCAATAAAATGTAGTTTTTTTTTTCTTTTTTTCTCTAAATTATTTATATATCAACACATTTCTATGAGCATTATGACCATTTTTTACGATTTCTCATGTGAAAACTTCACTCACTGTATATTTAGATCATCAGATTTGACAAAAAATATATATATATTGGAAACAATCTTTTAGGATCTTTTGGACAGCTAAATTTACCATTTTAGAACGAAAGTATACTATGTTTCGTTCCAAAACATAATTTGTTAGTATCAGGGTTTTCTATTAACATTGGGTGAAACAAATCCTTCCATTTGTTTGGCAAAGCTTTTGAACGGCATGGTTTTTGTTATCTCTTAAATAAACTATTCATAGTATAAATGCGTATAATATTTTTTTGATAAATAAAAATGCATATAATATAGTACGGAATTAAGTTATTAGCATCAAATTAGTTTCTTTTTTTTTCTTTTTCCTTTCCGTTTATTTTATTTTTTATTTTTTTGGGTTTAGCCTGCCGAGAGAGAGGAGGCATGAGTTAGGCTTTTTATTATATGGGCAAATTACAAATACACTCCCTAAAGTTTGCTTAAAATACAAATTACCCCTTGTAATTTGAAAAATTACAAATACTGTCTTGTCAGAATTTTTTATTTAACAGAATTAACTAAAAAAAATGAAATTCATAATTGCTCTCCTATACAATAATAAAATTATCTTAATTATTAATAGAAACATATTTTTAGCATTATTAAAAAATTGTTAATTGGCTTTATGATTTATTAATAAAATAGACGATTTGTAATGAAATTAGAAATATCAAGGGGTGAAATGTAATTTCCAGAACTATAGAGATAATTCGTATTTTAATTAAATCTTATGGGGTGTATTTGTAATTTATCCTTTTTATTATTTATATAATCAATCTGCCCAAATTCTGAAGTGAGGATGAAAGAAAGGGCAGATGTTAAGAAAAAGGAAAAACAAAAAACTTGTAGAACTTACTCATCGTTATTGCTTTCTCCTGTGTGTTTTCAGCCTGGTGAAATTCTTGACACCAGCATCCGGCCTCCAAGGATACTGGGATCCGTATCCGATAGATATGGAATTTCGACCCCCTTGTATGGTGCTATCAACAATAGGAATCTCTAAGCCCGGGAAATTGGAAGGGCAGAGCACTGAGCAGTGCTCTACGCATCTTCACCAACTTCATGTGTGCTTACCATCATCTAGACAGAAGACAAGGTTATTGTACAGAATGTCGCTGGATTTTGCTCCCATGCTAAAGCACGTCCCTTTCATGCAGTATCTGTGGAAGTATTTCGCAGAGAAGGTAAAAAAAAAAAAACCCAAGTTTCCTTTACCAACATATAAAAATCTCTTCTTAATATTCTGGTTGAGTTTTTGATTGTATTGAATTATTACAGGTTTTGAATGAGGATCTCCGAATTGTTATTGGCCAACAAGACCGGATGCTCAATGGGGCAAATGTATGGAATTTACCGGTTTCATATGACAAGCTAGGAGTAAGATACAGGTTATGGAGAGACGCTGTGGACCAAGGAGCTAAGCAATTGCCTTTCAGCAAAAGAACATAGAAAGCTAATTCGAGTCTCGATGATGGATTCTAACTTCTTTTGAAAGCCATCAGTTCTCATGCTGAACTGCAGACACTCAACAGCTCCTTTACAATTTTCTGCAGTTTGATGCTCCCCTCCACGCTTCCCCCAAAGCAACTCACCGGAAACTGTAATTTGATTCGAGGCAGAAGAGAGATGGAACCTACCCGACAATGCAAACACCCTTGTAAAAATAAATTAACTGTACACTCTCTTTTATTGTTTTGTGTACAGTCTTGAATCCTTTTCTTTTTCTTTTTCTTTTCCTTGTCGATTCTTTTGGTGAGGCTAGTCTTTCATTTCTTACCCAGTGGCATGAAATGTCTGTTGTACGATAATAGCATCACCGTGTTCTTGCATTCAAAATGAAACTCCAGATTCTCTGTAATGTGGTTACAACATGATACTAGTACCAGTCACTTTGCTTGTTTTCTGGTTTTCTAAAAACTCTTTCCAGAAAATTCTACTTTCTTCTTTTCTGTATTTTTTTATTTTTACTGAAATTTTTTAATATTTTAAACAACTTTTTTAATTTTTAGACATACCTAACATAAATACACAGAAAAAGTATAATTTTTGTGAATTTTTAAATATCAAAAATACCAAAAAAAATATAAGAATTTAGTATATTTTTCATTTTTTTATGTATCCATTAATTTTTTAAATTATTTCTTCTCAAAGTTTTTATTTTTTAAATACATCTAAGTAAGGTGCAACTAAAAAAATAAAAAAAAAATGCTTAAAATTTGAAAAATATTCACTAAAAAAAAAAAAAAAAAAACTTAATTTTCAAAAACCTTATGTAACTCTCCAAAATAAATAGGATAAACCTCGTTTCATAAAAGGAAATAAAGTTGAAACAAAAGATATTTTCATTAACCAAAGTTGGTATACAAAAGATGACACATGCATTATACATTCACAAATGATTCATCCTGAATCTACAGCATATATTACAAATAGTAATAAAAAATGAAAGCTAAACACATATCCAAATGCCCTCAAGGCTTACATATTTCCAAGACCGTGCTTGGTTACAACAAAATGAGTTAGGAGCTCAATGCAATTAAAGTCCTAGGACTTATATAAAAGTTAAACACAAAATAAACAGAATGAGCCTTTAGCCCCACAGTCCTCCTAAGCTAAGTCCTTAGCGGAGGCATATCACCAACACCTGAAAATGGTTTTTCCCAAGTAGGGTGAGCTAAAGCCTAGTATAAACAATCTAACACAATATATAAATCTTAATAAAGATATAAGCATGATGTTCATATACAATGTCTGTGATAAAATCTTTCATTATTTAAAAGATCATACTATGCTAAGTTTTATATCTCATTTCATTATTCATATCATTCAATCAACCAATACTAAGGACACAACTCACTTGATTTCAAATCAATGTAATTATCATACAAGTTCAATCATTTGCCATTTTACGGAAATTTCGTCTGCGAGATCAACATTCATGTATACAAACGGTTTTCGGGACTTTCACCCTAGACACACGGACCAATTTAATTTACTGGAGTCCATCCCCTTTCTCCTTTTGACATGGAGTACATCCCATTTTTCCTTCCAAACATCATACATATATAATGTATTAAAACACAGTCATATTTAATGACAATCAATAAAATATTAGTTTCAATTTACCTAATCCTCATGTAATTTCTACAACAATCATAGCTATCCTTCACTGATAGCCCAAAACAGATATTTCTAAACAGAAATACAATCTCCAAGACAGATAAATTATCTAAATTTTCATGGGTGAAAGGTAATACATATCTAACTCTACCATTTATATAAACATGTATCCAATTTCACATTCCCCATACCAATTCCATTATTTATACCAAATAATTAATTTAAACAATTTATGGCAAAACTCTATTTTCTCCCAAAATTCAATCCATGTGTTAAAATTAGTAATTTTTTCACACAACACATTCTTACATCTATAACCACAATCATTTTCAATACTTTCATTTGAAAACCCCTCTTTTGATTTTAAACCAAATTTTTAAGTTTGTCTAAACTCCTCCAAATCCCACGATTTGTTTACATAACAACAAATAACTAAGTTAAAAATCATAGGAGAGTGTAAAAAGTCCCTACCTCAAGTTTAGAAGACCAAGGAAGATGTGGAGAAACTTCAAAGACGCCGAGACCAAAATTCATTCGAATCAAAACATATTTCTCAAGGTGCTCTACCTTTTTAACAAAGGCACAAGGGTGGAGAAATCACTAGATCTAGATGAAAAAGTAGAGAGAATGTAAGTTTTAGAGAGAGAGGGTCTCAACTTTAGGGTTTTGACAGAAATTGATCCAAAAAAGTGATGTAAAATGACCTTTTTACGAACTGATATACGCACAGTCCGCTCGAGCGCAAGAAGTGATGCTCGAGCGCAAAATACACATTTCTAATAGTTTTGCAGAGAATAAACCAACACTCAAGCACAAGAAATAGCCGTTTGAACTGAGCCCGCTCGAGCGCAGAAAGAACCGCTTGAGCATAGAATACACTCTCTCAGTAGTTTTGTAGACCTACAAAAGTACTGAGAGTTTGCAAAGCCCGCTCGAGCATAAGAGAAAAATTCTAGGCGACAAGAGTTGGGAAACCGAGCAACCAACTTGTCCCAAACACAACCACAACAACCCAATAGCCAAAATTAAGAAAAATAACAAGAGAAGCAAGGCATAATCAATAGTACGGAACCATGAAACCCATATCCATAATATAACAAGGGTCGGGTCAAAATCGGAATCGCTATAATCTCCTCCCCTTAAAGAATTTCATCCCTGAAATTTTAAATCGAGTTTAAAAACTGAGTTAAAACCAATTATAACAATGACAATCATTTAATTCCATCACCATCCGATCATTCAATCCCATCAACATGATAAACAAATTCTCAATATTGAATACACAATTCGTATTTTCAAAATATATACAATGTTTATATTAAACCCGTGTTTCCAAAACATATACAACATATATAATGTTTCCATAATCTCATAACATATACAATGTTGTCATATTTCATTAACGTAATATAATCTCAATACATGTTCAAACATCAACAAATAAAACTAGATATTTCTCACGAACTTCCAACTCATGTTTCTTAATTGCTTCCTCGACTCCGTGATGTTTCTATAATACCTTAGCCAAGGGAATTGTCTTGCCTCGCAAGACTTGGTCCCGAGTATCCAAGACTCTTATCAGTCTCTCCTTATACGTTACATCATCATCTATCTCTAAGTTAGTCCAATTCAACACGTGCGATGAATCCGGCTCATTCTTCCGAAGCATGCTAATACGAAACACATCATGAACCCCGGAAAGCTGTGGTGGCAAGGCCAGACGATAAGCAACCTCTCTAATCCGCTCAAGGATCTCAAAAGGACCAATGAATCGAGGGGACAACTTTTCACTTTTTCCAAACCTCATCAAACCCTCCTAGGTGATATTTTCAAGAAGACATGATCTCCCACCTCAAAAGACAATGGTCTCCTCCTACGGTCGGCATAACTTTTCTAGCGACTCTGGACAGTGGCCAATCTCTTACGGATAAGTGCAACTTTCTTCGTCGTTTCTCGGACAAACTCCGGGCCTAATATTGGTACATCACCCACCTTGGCCCAACACACAAGAGATCTACATGGTCGGCCATACAAGGCCTTAAACGGTGCCACGTCAATACTCGATTGGAAACAATTATTATAGGCAAACTCCACTAAGGACAAGTGCCCCTTCCACGAACCTTTAAAATCAAAGACACAACCCTAAAGCATATCCTCTAAAATCTGAATTGTACGCTCTAACTGCCTATCAGTCTGAGGATGATACGCAGCACTAAAAGTCAGTCTCATGCCCAAGGCACTCTGTAGGCTTTACCACAACCGAGCTATGAAACACGGATCTCTATCTGAAACAATCGTCACAGGGACCCCGTGCAACCTCACTATGTCCCTAATATAAAGGTCGGCAAGATGATCTACCGAGTCAATCACACGCATAAGAATAAAGTGCGCCGGCTTGGTCAACCGGTCAACTACTACCCAAATTGCATCACTATCCGGTTGAGTCCTCGGGAGGCCCACAACAAAATCCATTATGACATGTTACCACTTCCACTCGGCTATGGCAAGGGTTACAATAGACTCGCTGCCCTCTGATGCTCGGCCGTCACTTGTTGACAAGTAAGGCATCTCAATACAAACACAGCTGCATCCTTCTTCATACGTCTCCACCAAAACTGGCGACTAAGATCGTGATACATCTTTGTGCCTCCCAGATGCACCGTAAGGCGTGAGTGGTGAAACTCTCGGAGTACTTCCTCTTGGCAAGACTCCGGCAAGAACAAACGGTCACGGTATGTAATAACCCTCGTCACTGTTTACTGATTAACCACTGATTACTGCTAAACTGAGACTGATTATGATTGGTAACTGAATTGATTGAAGTACTGAACTGATTGACTGAAATCTGGGACTGAATTGACTAAGTATATCTGTTTAATTGTATGTCTATCTGTTGACTGTTTGATTATCTATTCATGCCTTTGTGTTTAAATTGCGAATTGAAGGCCTTATCGGAGGCCGAATATGAAATTGATTGATGATTTGTGTTCATTGGAATTAGTATGATTTTATGGTGTATTTATCTAAAATGTGATTTCATGTGATTAAATTAGGCTAAATGGTGTTAAATTGCATAGTTGGACTTATTTGCCATTTTGCCACTTAGTGGACTTTCATGAGCCTTTAGTTGATTCTGCCACTTAGTGGACTTTCATGAGCCTTTAGTTGATTCACATATGTGAGCCTTAACACATTTCATCAGCCATTGAGAGACACAAAACCGACTGAGAGAGAGAGGTAGAGGAACTTAGCTTCATCTTGAATTTTGCTTGGAAATTTGAAGGAATTGAAGGATTGAGTGCATATTTGAGCTTGTATATCTTGCATCCAAGACCTAAGATAGTGTAATTACCCTCTTATTTGTGAATTGAACTTGTTCTTACATGATTCATGTCAAATTTAGTGGATTAAGTCATGAAATAGCTTCACATGTTGAATTATAACTTAATTCATGCAGCACTGATTGAAGAGATTAAAGAGAAACAACAAAAAAAGAAAAAATATAATTAGGGATATATGACACCACCATGTTAAGAGCTGTGGGTGTTAGAATTCCCATTTGGTAATATTAAAAAAAAAAAAGCCCAACTTCATTTAAAAAAAAGTTTAAAAGTCAAATTCTGTTATTGTCTATTCCCAATTTCAAAATTAGATTTTGAGTTATTTCTGAATAATTTATATTTTTTAATTTATAAATGAAATTTTTATTAACATTTTGAATCAATTTTTTTAAAGATGTTTTTTAGATGCCGAATTTAATTCAGATGTTCTCAATAGGTAAA